TAGCTAAACAGCAGTGCTTAAGCCCGGAAAGCTTAAATCTACGTTGGATTTCAAAATTTTCATTGTTGTTGGTGTTAATGCTGGTTACAAAATAGACAAATTCATCTACGACTTCAATGTTGTACCTGCCAACAGACAAAGCAGTCAAAGGCTGGTCTATAGGCTGGAATATCTGGTCACTGACGAGTTGACGAGTTCACCATATCTAAAGGCGTTCCTGTGTTGACGAACAAAGACCAGACTCTATAAGTAGTTCATCATGATGGTGGCTTACACAGGGTAATTGCCACAAAGCTTCAGTTCTTTTATAGACTAAGGCGTTCCTTTTAAGTGACTTGGGAGGATCACGCATGACTTCATCCAGCCATATTTTGTAAAGAAACTGATTGCTACATCTTATCAGTTATTCGCCGCTGTATGGGAATGACAATCCAGCGGCCTCACCGCCTCGTTGTTTTTTTTTTAAGCAGGCAAATTTAATTCCTTCCTAAAAGGCAATGAAATATCTACTCTTCGTCATCGTTATAGCCTTAACCTGCTGGTGTAATTTCACTATCACTTAGTGGGCATTAGTAGCGTTCCGTCCATTAATTCAATATGCTCTTGACAGCAGTCGCTACATCACGACTCCGGGTCGTATATGAGCTTGCTCCGGTTCAAAAAATATTTCCATAAATCGCTGTATCTTCTCACAGAATTAACCTTGTCGGCTTCTCAAGCTTCTCATACATAAGAAAAACCATCAAAAGGCTTGACGTGCTCATTTTAGTATGAAAAAGTTCCTTAACGCGAAAATTTAATTTCTTCAATCTACAATCTCAATTAACGCTTAAAGCTCCAAAGAAGAGAAATCAAAAAAAGGCACAGAAAATACACAAAGCAATGAAATACAATATTTTAATATATTTACTTTTATTGCAAGTAAACAAAAATTAAAAGCTTATAAATGCCCCCAGGCTAAGCTCGTCTGTATTTATTTGTCCTTTGCCGCCGTCTGCTTAGGACAAATTAAAGAAATCTTTGCTAAACAGGGAAAAGTAGGGAAAACCAATATCCAGACGCATATGCTAATGTAATAAATTATGTGCCCATAACGCAATGCCACATACCTTTTCTTTTATTCTCATTCATTTATTTATATTTTATTTTTTGACACCAAACCTCACACCAATCACAATTAGAAGGGACAATATTTAAGATGCGAATTCGCAACCAACTCACAGAATATAATGGCAAAAAACTGTTCGACTTTTGCGAAGATATGCAAATTTTTGGGTATCAAATCCTGAAAAAAAACTTAATACAGAGAAATAAAAATTGCGTATAAAAGTATTAAGAAAGGATATTGTAAGCGATCTGTTTGGTGCAAAAAAGTATCTCAAATACATATATACGTGTATATGTATACAAATATGTGAAACTTTGTTATACCCACATTTAAATGGGTGTATGCATATAAATGAGTCACACTCAACACATAAATCTTTTTATATAAGTATACGTTTTTGTATCAAAAGGTACCGAATGCGTGTTGAGTTGATCCTTTTATAAGGGACATATTGAGTTGAGAAGTTCAAATTTTCGCATATTTTGTCGGTTTGCCACAATATCATGTGCGGGTGACCTACTCCACTCTTTTAGAATGTGAAAACCATATTTGCGTTGATTGTAGGTCGTATGTGCATATTTATTCGTCCTTTATGCTTTCTTTTCTCCAATTCATATGGTTTGTGGTACAGAAAATTTTCTTTGGAAAAAATTACTTTTAGTTCATAATTGTGTTAGTGGATGTAGTGGGTGGGTATAAATCACATTAAAACTTCGACAATAGTGTCAAAAGTAATTTGTAAATTGTTATTTGACATATTTCATTGCCTTACTTTCTTTATGTATTATATGTAAATAGATAAATACATATATGGTTGCTGATGAAAGGTAGAGTGGCATTACAAAATATAAATATTTTTATTTTTTATCAATTTTTTATTATAGCTTTATTTGAATAAGTTGATTTATATGTAAAAATCTTTATCAAACTAAAGATAAAAAAACTTCTCTACGAAAAATATTTTACAAAAAAATTTAATTCTGGTAAGAATCATTTTTTTTCTCTTAAAATTTTTACCCGCATCTCAATTATAAGCTTTTTCAAATATATACTGGACAAATATAATATAATATATATGTATATATATTTTCGATTTCTATTTTTTTTATAATTTTTTCAAAATATATTATTAATATTGTAATATAATTCATATATATTAGGCCAAGTAAAAGGTTTGTTCCGTTTTTTATTAATTTTTCAAAATATGATAACTTTGTGTACATTTTTCCGATTTAAGTAAAAGATATGCCGTCGCGTTATCAACGAGATGCCAACTTCATTATAGCCCTCTCGTAGAAGACTGCGTCCCTATTGGCAAAAAAACTCGGAGAGACAATTTTCACAGGCCTCTCTGAAGGACAACTTCTTACCATTAAACGCGTTCGCCTTGGACAAGAAAAGATGTAAATCACTTGGTGCCAAGTTCGCACTATAAGGTAAATGCTTCAGGACCTCCCATCTGAGCTCCTGGAGCTTCTGGCGCGTCACCAAAGACTTGTGTGCTCTGGCGTTGTTCTGATGGAACACAATTCAGTCTCTGTTGATCAAATCTGGCCTTTTCTGGATGAGTACTGCCTTCAAGCGGTCCATTTGTTGGCAGTGGAGGGTTGAATTGAGCGTTTGGCCATAGGGGAGCCGCTCATAGTAGATGATTCTTTGCAAATCCCATTAAACACACAGCAAAACCTGCTGCATCTTTGACATCGAATTTACCGGAATGGAACCTAGCAAACCATTTTTGTGCCTCACGTTCGTTTAAAATATCGGGCCCATAAACTAAATTAATTTTTTCAGCCGCTTTGGCTGCTTTTTCGCCTTGATCGAAGAAAAATTGTAAAATATAGCGAATTATCTCTTTGATGGGGTCCATCTTTGACGTGCATTCACAATGTACTGAGTCAATCACTCGAAAAACCAAACTTTTAGCGCGAATAAACACGTTTTCAGCGCCGTTTAGAATGACATGATGCGAGTCGCAACACTAGTACTATGGACAATAACGCCAGATAAAAACCGAACGAACTTCTTACTTGACCTACATGTTGAATAATACAATGCATATGGAAATCCTTTTAAATTCTGTTTGAACAGGTTTTATGGAATTATATGACTAATCTTCGTAAAATAAAAATTAAAACTCTTTTTTATTAAAATTTAAACTGATGTCTTCTTATCAAAAGATGTTCTTTTATAAAGTTTCCTGACGTGATTTGACTCACGTTAACTGTTGTAGCTTGCATCCCAGTAAAGCTGCAACTTACCATCTTACATACCGCACAGCCGTAACACCCGACTGGAAGAGCGATATGCATACACCAGTTATCGACGCTGCTAACATCGACTAAATATTGCCAGCTGCCGGTGTGGTTACATAAATTTAAACACGTTTATGAATTTTGTCAATGGATTTCATAATTAATATTTTTTAATATAAACGTTAATCAAATATATAAGTAATTAATTACGTATTTAGTTTTCATTTCTTATAAAAAAACCACGCAGCTTCTTAGTTTGTTTAATATTAGATTAAAAATTCAATACTGGCAACCTTGTATAACAGCAAGTAATAAGCTCCGGTTTTACAGGAAAAAAGAAATCTTCGCTGGTTTCTGCGGGACAACCGTCAGTAACGGCAGCGGCAAAAGGTGACAACTATTCATTTACATTGCGCTTTCTGAAGATAGGTTGCTATGGATGGAAGGTATGTAAGATGGGTAGTTGCAGCATAACCCTGGCAAACTTCTTCCGTAGTTCAAATATCTTGATGGTATTTTTCCCCCATGCTATTTACTCAGAACAAAAGTTGGTGTCTAAATACCTGTCGGGCAAGTGTGGATAAATGTTCATATTACAACCAACCGGCTGGTAGTGGGACAACATTCAATAGGCTCCGTTCAGCTTTCATTATATTTGCTGCCTAGACAAGGTTTCTATAATCCGAATTAATTCATTCATGACATTTTCCCAATTTCTAATGATTCTTTAGAAATACCAAAGGCTCTGATAAATGTGCCGAGGTGTTTCTGACTGAAAAGCTGGGGCTTATATTATATAATATATCCCGTTCAAGATCAGGTTCAACCAAAAAAGTGATTTCTTTTTTCAGAAAAATTTTATTTATTAAAAAAAAAAATACAAATTATAAATCAAAGAATTTGTAGATTAGTAGACGTATAAAAATATTGTTTGAAAGAAGTTTTTTTTTTTTTAAATTGCTGCTGAATCACATAGCCTATGGCCAGAACATTTTCAGTAAAGAAAAAAAGGTGAATTTTTTAATATTTTATTTCTTCATAATTTTTTTAAATAACATTGAATATGTTGGGATGTCACTTAGTTAAAAAACATAGTTTCGAGAAAAAGGCAATAAAAGTATTTGTTCGGTTGTATATAGCGCTTGGAGCGCTCCACACTTTCTTTTTGTATACTTCCATCTTGGTCTTGGGGACCTACGGAATTATTCTGTTTATTTCTTTTTTTCGAGCGTATTTTCTAGACAAAAATTTCAATTATTTTTTTAATTTTTCAACGCAACCTGGCCTTAAAATCAGCTGACCCCCCAACATCACTGGAAAATGAATTTTTATTTCTAGCTCTGAATTCTGCACTGAAGACGTTTTTTTTCTTCTCAGAACTCCATTTAAAAAAAATTTCATGTAAAATAATGCAAGCGCCCCACCCTAGACAGCATGTGAAAAATTGATTTCTTTTTTTTTGTAAATTATAAATTAAATTATACATACCTTTATCATCAAATATTAATAATTTTCATATGCTCAAGCAATAATAATATTTCAACTCTGTCATTTAATTCTATTACCATTACCCACAACTCGTATGCACCATCATAATATTTTTATTAATATTTCCACACACTCATTTTCCATTACAGTCCTCCGAGAATTGTCCATATGGCAGCATAGATTGCTCACCGTTATTGGTCTCCTGGGATGGTGAAGCCGAAATACAGTCGGGAGATATTTTGATAGTGGAAATCAATGATACATTATTGAATACAAGTGAACATAATGTAACGCATACCAGCCTGTAAGTATATATGTAAATGCATAACAACATCCATATATGTACATACAATACATATATATTGTACTATTTATCTAATTTCGATATCGTGTTTGTGCCATAAAAGAAAATGAGATTTTCTAAACATATTAAATAGATGTTTTTGGGAAAGTAAAAAGTGTTTGTGTTGTTGTTGATTGCATTGAGTCATGAATATTGAATATGTGGTTGTTTGCTCAAGCAGAAGTACGCTGTGGGAAGGCGTGTTGCGTGTGGTGTTCACAGAAATGTTTTAAAAAGTTTTGCTATCCTGATTGATGGATAAGAGTAAGCAAGAAGAAGAGTTGAGTAGCTAGAGGTACACGTACACGTATGTGTTATAAAAATCCGGTTTTAAGTTATATATAAAAATACTCATATTACTATATACAAATGAGTATATATACCTAAATGGAATTTAATAATCCCTAAAGCGAATTTCAGCTCAGCTTTTATTCCAATTAGCGATTGTGCGTCTTGTTGTTTTTCCACGAAATGGTGATACCTACAATTTATTCTAAGCCGCCTATGATCGACTGAAGGATTTTTATGTCAGAAATATACTTGGGTGGTTCGGCATTCCCGATCAGCGGCGAGTGCAATAAAAAAAATTGGTTTTTTTTAATTTTTGGTTATTGATTACCTCATGTTGGTACGCACTGCTAACCACTGTGCTTATTTGGTTGGGATATGCATTTTAAATTATGTAGAAAGTGGGAGACAGTAATTAGATTATAAAATTTTTTACAAATAAAAGTGGGTAGAGTTGCCAACCATTTGAATTTATATGCCATCTATGAAATTTTATTATAACTATGAAAGTAAAATTCTGTAATTTCAAATGAAAGGTTTTAAGGAAATTTCATGCTAAGAATGACACCACCGATATACCACGTTGGATTAGTTGAGGTTATGTTACATTCATTTTAACGCTTTTTTTTAGACTGCCACGAAGATGCCGCACTTCAATACCCTAGTGCTCACCTGAGTTCATTTAAATACGAGAACCAAAGTGATATGGTCTCAGTCATGTATAATTAAGCCAGCCGAAAGGAAAGTTCCGGGGTGATTCCACCTCGCCATCACCCAAAAATATGTTTTAGACTGGGGTTTTAACCTGATTTTAATAATACCAATCGAAAATGGATCAGTAAGAGTATCTTTTAAATGTGAGAGGTATGATATGGGTACTGCTGGAAAACTTATTGGGTTTTCGCTATTCTTACTAAGCCAAAAGGATGCTTACAATGCGTAAGTCTTTGTTATTGTAAAGCTGAAGTGTTGTCCGTCTGCCTAAGGGAAAGCCATTTATAGCAAAATATTTTTCAAAAAAGAGCGTATTAAATGCTCGCTTGGAGAAGCCTATCAGCTCAGCTTTTCAAGCGAAACTGTTCGAAGCAAAGGGTGAATAAAGTGCATGATCAGTCCTCTTTGCAGAAAATAGTCGGAATATGCCCGACCCATTAAAGGGGGGAGTCCATAGTCCATAGTCGGATAATAATCCGCGCTCCATTAATTCTGAAATCATTTAAGCAAACAACTTCAAGGAATTGAAGTTTTTTAGCCGTGTCCGAAAGGCTGCCATGGAACCAAGATTTTTAATGTCAAGTATAAGGTCATCTCATCCACAGCAATTACTAAAACTCCAGGGTAAATGAACAGATCGGGCCTTATCTGGTAATTGTAGTCCAGATGGAAAAACCAGGGAGAAAAGGATTGATGCACGTTCCCACTTTGTCTTCGTTTTAAACATTTAAACCTGTGTCGCCTTATCTGATTTTGGTATCTTCGTAAAACTAATATGGCTATGCAAGTTGACGCCAAGCCATTGCAAACGTGTGGTGGGAAGTTCGGAGAACTTTGCAGAGCCATTTTGACTCTCTCTTTTCATCCGTAGGGAATATACAATCATCTCAATAAGAACGTAGAAGTTTTGGAACATCAAATATAGGTGATTTCAACTGTTTAGAAATTAGCATAAATACGAGAGCTGGCTAACTTTTTCGCGACCTAATGTTGATAGAGCTGACATATCATCTCTTTAATGATAATACTAATTACGGTACTCATTATTAGTTTAAAAAACACAACTTTTTTTATCAGTACTTAATTCCAGGGGTCAGCAACAACACTATGCCAACGGAAAATGGAAATTCTCGCAAATCCGTAGCGCCACACTGTGTTGAAATTCCTTGCAAAAAGTGAAGTGTCATAGGTTCCGCAGGACTCTGCATATAAGATGATGAAAAAATACGCTCAGTTGCTTCCAGTAGGAAGAGGGGCTTGTGAAGATGAGCGGTATCAGTGAACGAAAAAAATGTTCAGAAAATCCAAAAACTATTATTGGTAGATTGAAGAACTAATTGGCAGATAGAAGAAACATAACAACATAACCAATAATGAGCTGAAGATATTTCGCATGAACATTTGAATATAAAAAAATTATTTGGGTAACCTGAGTGCGTACACCGCTCGACAAGAACCGATGATTTGAGATTTGTTAAGATTTGTTGAAGTTGAGCCAAGAAGATTTGGATGAAATTCACAACCGCATTATAACAGTTGATGAAACTTGAATTATTCAGTATGATCCCGAGTCGAAACAGAAGTCATTGCAGTGGTTAAACATTTCTTAAAGGCCACCAAAAATTTCAAAATGGAGAAGTCGGCGTCGAAGATAAAGCCGAGGGAGGGAATATCATTCTCAAGGCTAGGGAGGGAATATCAAATAGGCCACACCGCTCGGGTTGTGATGCCTTGAAAGTTACTGGATTTATAGAAATTGACCATTCTTACAATCCGGACCTGGCTTCCAGTAACCTTTTCTATAATTCAAGATTTTCAGACGAACGTGAGATGAAAACGGCCGTAGAAAACCATTTTGTAGAGGAATCTAAAGAAATATATAAAGATAATGTAATTGACTTAAGGAAGACTATATTGTAATATAAAACAAAAACATAAAACCATCATTTCTTTCATAAAGTAAAGTACTTTAGGTCGCGATATATTTTAAAAGCATCGCCTCTCGGGAAGAAGGCCGTTATGCGAAATTATGCGTATTATAATGCTTAAATTACAAATACAATAGGTTGTTGATACCAGAAAAACAATATAACTACTTTACTCTCATTTGCCGTAATCGTTGACGGCATAGTAATCCTCAAAAAGACTTGTGCACCTATTAGCACTTGTCTGCTAATCGCATTACAACAACCATTTAGCAAAGTTTATTGAATCTTTACGCCTTTAATTCGTATACATACACGTACAACATTCATTGCTGTGGGTGCAACGGTGATAAAGCATGAAATTGAAAGCCATAAGCACAATGTGAGTGTTTCGAGAAATCTCCACAGCAGAGGCTAAGTCTGCTGTTTTATGGCTAACGGTAAAAACACAATGCTCTTTGTTGTAGGTCTACCTACCACTCGCCGGTTGCTTAACGACTATCTAGAGCAATGTTGGTCGTACCCTTTTTCTTTGTAGCCACACTGTTTGCACTCATTTTTGTTATTATTATTTTTTCCTCTACATTTCAGCCCGCTCTGCCTTCAACAGTCTATTACATATTTTTTCTGCTGTTTGTGCAATGCACGCAAACATTCGCACGAATGTAGTTCGCACTCAGTTACAATTGTTTTCCATGCCGTTTTTATTATTATTGTTTCCTCTTGCCATAACCGTGGCCGTTTCCTACTGCAGCAGATACAATTGTGCCACAAAACGATGAAGAGAAATCCGGTGAAGAGAAATCTTCTACCAAATGTACACATAAATTTCATTTTATATTGTTTCTTTCGCATAGTTGTGGGCGTGTATGCTAAATACGGGTAGGCATATGCGTAGCTATATATACATACATAAATATGCATGTACTGTTGGAAACACATTTTGTAACTCCTGGTGTCCAACTGAATACAGAGTGTGCCATCTCGATGTATCTTATTTCAAAATTGAATAACTCCGCCAATTATCAGTCAATTTTCACAAATGAACAAGATTTCTTTACGATATTCTAAGCCATTTATTTAAAACCAGGTTTAGAATACAACGACGATGAAGTGACCACCCCTATTTGATACACAAAATGCAGCTCTGTTGCGGGCATTCTGCATAACATTGGCCGGCATTTCGGGTGATATCGTAGCTATTTCAGCTCGTATATTTGCTTTGAGTTCGTCAATGTTCTTCGGCCTGCTGGCATAATCTTTACTTTTTAAATATCCCCTCAGAAAAAAGTCTGGTACCGTTAAATCCGGGGAACAAGGAGGCTACTCTAAATCACTATTTTTTGAGATAACGCAGCCTGGGAACTTGCTCTGCCAACGATAGTTTTCCATGTAAAGCGCTACGATTTCAGCGTGTTCTTTTGGTGTGTATCGACTCATAGCTAAAATGGCACTGAATGACGTTTCAGAATTATGTTCATCTGTCAAAATTGATATAGGATTCATCCATATGGCGCACCCTGTATACATATGAACATGCATTAGGGTGAGAGCTCTTAATGCAGCTCAGTTTAATATTCATCGTGTATCTGAAAAATATATTCAATTCATTTATTATCATGAAAATATACGAAATCAATCGTGATCTTTGTTTTTTTATACAAATTTTAATAAAAAAATGATAAAAATATATTTTAAAGCAAATTTAAGGTTTATCAAGACAAAGTATTACAATATTTTCTAATAATTTCCCTCAATATTACTTAAGAACAAAACCGTACTTTTATCCACTTGTAGAATAATGAAGGTTACTCATACCCAGTGCTGTGCTAAAAGTAATTTCTGCTATAAGTTTTTAGTGAGCGAAAGGCCTGGGTCGTTTGCATGAATTGAATATTTTTTTGTCATACAATAAATCGAAATGGTAGAAGTGACAGCTATTTCGGAGGTCACCACAACTGCCCGGATTTGTGTAAAATAAATAATGTTAGCGGTAAGTTTCAATTTTATGTTTGAGTTGGAAGAAAAATGCAT